GCGAGTGGGTGCTCCACCCACTTCTCTACGGTGGCCGCAGAGGGGTTGACGACGAGAGCGTTCACCTTGGCCGACTCCGCGGCGATGTGGCGGCGGCACTCCTCCACCCCAGACGCGAGAAGGGGCTCGATGTCGATCTTGTGCTGGCGGATGGTTTCACCGGCAGTGGATAGCTTCGTTTCAAAAACCTCGCCGTCAGGAGCGCAACAGAGACGAGAGGCAATATACTGCACGTGCACGCGCTGGGACTCCGTAGCCTCGTCACGGAGCTGTTGGGTTTTCGTGTCGAAGAGCTGGGCAGCCTCCGCCATCTGCGCCTCCAGGTCCAGCAGAGTCTGGTCAGATCGCCCACGCAAGAGACTCAAGGCACCACTGGGCACAATAGTGGCGACCATCATCTCCAGCTCGCGCATCCAAGAGACTTGCTTTTCCGACTTCGGTTCGGCTGCGTGCAACCAGAGCCGCATGTCTCGTGCCGAATTCTGACAATCCTCGAGCAACTGCCGCGAACGATCAGTGGTCCACTCGCTAAGATGCTCGAAGTAGTATCCCATTTCAGAACAGACGCTGGGACATCGATCACAGTCAGAACAGGTGTCCCAGAATGTGCATGGATTGGTAGCCTCCACAGGTTGCATATCCACCCACTCCATAGAGTGCTCGGGGCACAGCCCGGGGAGCACGAGCTCCGCCATCTCTGAGCCGCTCCCAATCCTCGTATGCCCGTGCACGGCGACGCCGTGGGGCTCCGAGCGGTATGCGGCGATGGTACTCTCAGAAGGAAGGAAATCATCAGCGTCATAACGTAATCGCAATTTTTGCCATTGACGGGCACATAGCACCTTACCAGTAGCATGAGGGGCGCATGCCTCCTCACAGAAGACGGCGTGGCGCTCCCGACCCGCACGCCGAAAAAGACGACGACCATTGCGATAAACATGATCCCCAACAATCGGCCTGGCAAATGTCGCGGCGTGTGACGGATGGTGCACGTTGTGTTGGAGCACTTCGCAGAAGAAAGCGCGCCGTCGATTAGCAGAATGTTGAAGGGACGGGTCAAGATCACAATACGCTTGCTTCTCCAGGAGACGAATGCGTGCAGCCAAATAACTAATCTTCGAGGGCATGAGAAGACTACAGCGCCGCCGTCGGTCTCGTAGCCAACCGACAAAGACAACAAGCGCAAGCGGACATGAACAAAGCAGAAAGCAACATAACCATATTGCCTCCTGTCGGCTCTTGAGCCAAAATGGCTACGGAGGAGGCGGAGGAGGAGGAGGAGCAGGAGCAGGAGAAGGGAGGAGGAGGAGGAGGAGGAGGAGGAGGATGAGGAGGAGGAGGAGCAGGAACAGGAGAATGGAGGGGCAGGAGAAGGAGGAGCAGGAGCAAGAGGAGGAGGAGGAGGAGGAGGAGGAGCAGGAGGAGCAGGAGGAGCAGGAGGAGCAGGAGGAGAAGGGAGGAGGTAGAGGGAGGACAAGGGGGGACCAGGCATGAGCGACAACAGCAGCTGGGCAAACGAACGGACGAGCCACGACGGTGCCCGCCACGACGGCGGCGCGCCCGGACAGCTCCTCCCGCCACCTGGCCGTGAGCTCCCGCGCCTCCTGGCCGGGGCCGGGCGGGGAGAGCGGGGGGGTCAACCGCGCGCCACATCGCTCGGACGTCCACTCCCCGTGCTCTTTTGCTCGGCTTCGCGCGCTTCGCTTTCGCACGACGCTCCTGGGTGCCCCATCGCTGCCCCCGTCCCACGCAGGTGGAGATGCCTACGAGGGCACGGGCCGTGCGCTGGGCTCGGAGGCGACTGGGGGGCCCGAGGTGGCCCAGCACCGCTTCCGACCCGCAGAGAGAAGCAGGGAGGGTGGCCCGGCACTGGTTCCCCTTCCTTGCTGGCCAGAACCAGTGCTGAGCAGGAAGAGGAGGAGGAGGAAGAGGAGGAGGAGGAGGAGGAGGAGGAGGAGGAGGAGGAGGAGGAGGAGGAGGAGGAGGCTCGCGCCCCCATGGGCAGCTCCGCCCGCGCGTGGCCCCCCTCCGAGAGGCCGCCCCGCCGCTGCCGGCGGCGGCGGCCTCGGAGGGGGGCCGTGCGCGCGGGGCTGGCCAGGAGCAGGCGGGGCTCCGGAGGGAGCGGGGGCCCCGAGGTGCGTCGCCGCCTTCGGGCCCGGTGTGGGGGGGTCCTCTCCACGGGCCGGCTTCCCCCCCGCAAAAAAAAGGCTCGGAGATCGGGCGGTGGCCCTTCCCTCTGATCCCCTCACCGCAGGGGGGGGGGGGGCGCGTGGGGCGTGGGGGGGTCCTGCGGGGGGCCCAGGGAGGGGGGGTCCCCGGGGCTGTGCCCCCCCCCACCCCCACGTGGGGGAGCACGCCTCCCTGGCAGAAGCCTTTCCCTTCGATTCCTTGCCTCCCAGACGCCTCGGGCCCCCCTTCATGGGTTCGGCGGCACCTGCCGTAGGGCCTTCACAAAGTGTGGGGGGGTTGGCAGAGTGGCAAATCCCGCCATTTCCCTTTCGCGAACCACACCCCGCCCCCTCAGCCAGTTGGGGCGCATCGCAGCTCTTGCTAACGTGCTCTCGCTATCCGCTCCTCCTCGGCGCTTTCCTTCTTTCTCCTTCTCCTCGTCGTCGTTGTCTGTTGAGGGCGAGTGTGGGGGAGCGCCCAGGAGCAGCAGGAGGAGGGCGGGGAATAAATAAGAGGAGGAGTGAAGATTTGCGAGGGATTAAGAATATGAAACATGAGGGATGGAGGATTAGGAGGACGAGGAGGGGGAGAGGACGAGGAGGGGGAGGAGCGAAGAGAAGGGCGAGCGGGAGGGGTGCGGCCCGCGCCGATCTGTGGACGCCCGAAATGGGTACGGAAAGAATGGGTACAACGCCCAACAACAAAAGTTGTCCCAAACCGACAGCGGCCGCTGTTGGACAGGCGGCCTCCTGTCTCGAATGAACACAAGCCGCGGCGGCGTGGACAGCGAGTCCTGTTCAAAATGAACCAGATCCGCTGTTGGGCATTGTACCCATTCGTTCCGTGCCATGTCGTTCGTGCAGACGATCGGCACAACGATGAATGAGAAAACGAGCGCCCTTGCCACGTCGTCGTGAGCCTGTCTGCGTGGCGATGCCTCGGGCCGCCCGGCTCCTGCGCCGCCCGGCACAGCGCCTGCCGCACGCCGGGCGCCTGGCGCACGGCAGCGCCCGCGGGCTGCGGCGCCCGCGGGAGCATGGGCGCCTGCGGCAGCGGTGCCGCTCCACCGCTAACGCCGCAGCCGCCGCCTCCGCCGTGTCGCCGCCGCCGCTGTGCAGCTGCCGCTTCGCCGCTTCGCCGCCGCCGCCGCCGCCGCTCCGCCGCCGCCGCCGCCGCCGCCGCAGCTGTGCAGCTGCCGCTCCACCGCCACCGCCGCTGTCGCTCCGCCGCCGCCGCCGCCGCTCCGCCGTGTCGCCGCCGCCGCTGTGCAAATGCCGCTCAGCCGCCACTGCCGCTGCCGCTCCGACGCCGCCGCCGCCGCCGCCGTTGCGCCGTTGCGCCGTTCCGCCGCCGCCGCTGTGCAACTGCCATTCCGCCGCCACCGCCGCTGCCGCTCCGCCGCCGCTCTGCCGCCGCCGCTCCGCCGCCGCCGCCGCCGCCGCCGCCGCTGTGCAGCTGCCGCTCCGCCGCCACCGCCGCTCCGCCGCTTCGCCGCCGACGCTGTGCAACTGCCGCTCCGCCGCCACTCCGCCGCCGCCGCCGCCGCCGCCGCTCCGCCGCCGCTCCACCGTGTCGCCGCCGCCGCTGTGCAACTACTGCCGCCGCCGCCGCTTCGCCGCCGCCGCCGCCGCCGCTCCGCCGTTTCGCCGCCGCAGTCTTGCAGCCGCCGCTCTGCCGCCGCCGCTTCACCGCCGCCGCCGCCGATGTGAAGCCACCGCTTCGCCGTCGTCGGCGGCGTCGGGGAGGCCAGGCTTCGCCTCGCTTCGACGCCCACTCGGGCCAATCTCACTGAGAAGTCAAGGCGGCCCTGTGGAGAATGCTATCACATGTTGCCCCTCTCTCCTGGATGCGTCGAAAAGGGGCCTGCTGTGCTCATCGCTTGGGGCTTATGCGGATACTTCCCTGTTGAAGCCTGTGCTGGGGGCGTTGTGTTAGGCACCCTGCTCGTAGGGGGAGGCGATAGAGGACGCACAAGGGATTGAGGATGATCGAGGGGCGAGGTTTCTGTGCGCTCTCGGCCCTCGTTCGGCCTCCAGGAGCCTCCGCGGGCTTCTAGAGGCAGAGCGTCTGAGAACCTTCGGACGCGTCCAGACAGCCACGGGGACTCCAGAGACCAGGCCTTCCGAAAAGTATGCAAGCCCCACCTGCAACCAGAACGATGATCACTCACGGTTTGTTTAGCCCCAGAAGGCTGGACGAACTTCACGAAAACCCTGCGAAAACGATGGCCCGCCCGGTCGCATGCAGACCCGTGCATAGTAAACGAATCGAGACAACGGGCCAACGTTCTGGAAGATGCGGGAGAAACGCTTGGCCAAACCGGTGTGAGGAGGCTCGAGAATGACTGGCGCAACTGTCGGTCACCAAACCTCGCGCTTTGCTCGGGCAATCGCTGACATGCATTGCGGATTCATGGGTCTGGCGCGCCCATGGCGCCAGTGCCGCTTGCTCCGGCGACGGAGCGCGCCGGCTTCACGTGGACATTGGGCCCGTCTCTCAGCCGCGCGCCTCAGCCCATCTGCGCTTCCGTGACTTGCGCGGAGCGGCGGGCGGCTATCTCTGCGCTGTCGTGCCCCCCCCCCCGAGAGAGGCCCCGCGGGGAGAGCGCCCCTCTGTGCCCCGAGCGGAGCGCGGCCACCCTCGCGGCCCTTCCGCTGACGATGCGTGCCTCAAGGGCGCGATGCGCCACGCGGGGCGATCCTGCTCTCACTGCCCCAGCTGCGCCCCCGACCTGGCGCTTCTGTTGGCCTCCACGGCTTCGCCGCTGAGCAAAAACCTGTACCGACAGCGTGGGACCTGTGGGCAACGGCTGGCAGTCACAGCCGGCAGAAAGCTGGGGGCGTAGAAGGGCGCTCCACGACATCCCCCCTACAAAAACCCTAATTAGCAGAACAGGCCCCCGAGGCACGCCAGGCCAGAGGGCCCGGCTCATTACACCTGGACGAGGACCTGCAAGGGACAGCTAACCGTTCGGGGGGTCGCGGCGACGAGCGCCAGCTGCAACCCCCGGGGGCGGGGGACGGGGGCCTCAGCGAGCGCCGCCATTGACTCAGCGGTTCACCCGAAGCTAGGCCGATCGCCCTCACGGATCCACATTCGGTCGGGCGCCCCATCCCCCAGCGGGTGCGCCAGGCCGATGGGGCCAGCCGGCGCCTGGACAAGAGCCCAAAGCGCAGGCCTGCGACGCGGACGCAAACCTGGCGGGCCCCCCACCAGCGATGCCCACCACGCGCGCAGCCAGGAAAAAGAGGACACGGACGAGCCAGCAGCCCAGTGCCCTCGTGAAGAGACTGGTGCACAACCGACGGTGCGACGGGGCGCCGAAGGCCAGACCGGGTCCAGGAGACCCAGACCGCGGTGGCCCCATCGCGGGCGCGCGAGGCTGCGGGGCCAAGCTGCTCCTGGACTGAGTCGAAATGGGCACAGAGCTGCGACGCGCAGGCGGAACCCTTCGGCCCGCGTGCAGAGGCTGGCAGCGAGACTCCAGACCTCCGTTTTGTTGTTGTTGCTGCTGCTGTTGTTGGGCTGATGCACAGGCGGGACCCCTCGGCTCGAGATCCAAGGCTGGCTACGCGTCGCCAGCGCCGCCTGGCATCGCGCGCAGCAGAGTGCAACTGGAACAGAGGGCGCGCGGCAGTCACCAGGCGCGCGGCAATCACTAAATGACAGTATCCTCGCTACAATGACAGTATGGGGCGGGGGGGGGGGACAAGCCAGGAGACGCCCCCAGGCTCGCACCTCGCCGCGAGACCCCGACAATCAGAAGGACAACGCGAGAGGAGCCCGGAGAAAAGGGGGGCCGCGCCGACAGAGATCGGTGGGGCTGAACCCTTCGAGCATCAAAAACCCATCCGCAGCATCGTGCATCGGCCTGACGAGGGGGCTCCGCCAGAGGGCACGCGTCCCCCTCGTAACGCGGGCCTCCTGCTGCGTTTCCCCCAGGGCGGACCTTGGGGCTCTGAGCCGAGGCGGGGGCAGAATCGGTGGGGGGCCTCGCCCGCCCGTGCGCAGCGTGGCGAGCGGCGGGCGTCGAAGTTGCGCAGGCAGCTCCCAGATCTCCCGCCCAAGGAGGTCTTGCAGACACCTCCGAGGAATGTCAACAGATCCCGCCTCGAAGACAGCGCCGGTGCGAGACCGCCAGGTGGGGCCCCAGCCAAGGGTAAAGCACAAGGAAGTATCGAACGACAGGATTGCCTTGGTGGGGATGGGGGCTGTCGGCGGTGGGGCAAGGACCTGGCACTGAATAGAAAGATCGGAAGTCTCGAGCAGGGCTGCTGTTGTTGCTGGGAGCGGCGCCAATGCTGAAGAGAGTAGGGCGCCAATCCAGCGAAAAACAAAACGAAGTCTCGGGCGGGAGCGCTGGTTTTGTTGGGACGGCGGAATTCGGCGGCGAGGAAGAACACCGCCTTGAGTAAGAAAGTAGGAAGCATGGAGCGGGAGCCGTGGTTTTGTCGGGACGGGGGCTGTCGGCGGCGAGGAGCAGCATCGTCCCGACGAAAAAGAGAGTACCCTCGAGCGGGAGCGTTGTGTTTGCTGGGGTTGGCGCCAATTCAAAAGAGAACAGGGCGCCAGTCCAGCGTAAAACGGAAGGAAGTCTCGGGCGGGAGAACGCCGCCGTGAGTAAGAAGGGAAGAAGCATCGAGCGGGAGCCGTGGTTTTGCTGGGACGGGGTCTGTCGGCGGCGAGGAACAGCACCATCTTCAGAAAAAAAGGGAGGAAGCCTCGAGCGGGAGCGTTGTTTTTGCTGGGAGCGGCGCCAATTCTGAAGAGACTAGGGCGCCAGTCCAGCGTAAAACGGAAGGAAGTCTCGGGCGGGAACGCTGGTTTTGTCGGGGCGGCGGTGTTCGGCGGCGAGGAGGAGCACCGCCTTGAGCAAAAAAAGGGAGGACGCCTCGAGCGGGAGCGTTGTTTTTGCTGGGGGCGGCGCCGATGAGAGAAATATTAGCGTGCCAGTCCAAGGTAAACCGGGAAGGAGTCTCGAGCGGGAGCGCTGGTTTTGTTAGGACGGCGGCTTTCGGCGGCGAGCAAGAACACCAGCCCTGAGTAGAAAGGAGGAAATCTCGAGCGGGAAAGTTGTCGTTGTTGGGGGGCCGGTTTTGGCGGTCCCCCAAACCGCTCGAGCGCGAGCCTCATTTTCAATGAAAATGTAGCCAGCGCCTCGGCGAGAGCGCCAGGGCGCCTTTAAGGGGTCCAACAATAATAACTGTGTAGTAAGTAACATTCAACAGCACCAACAACAAACACAACAATCATTTTACCCTCATGCGCGATGTTTCCAACACGAAGCATGCGACCATCATGATAACCATCCCCATCATGGGGGATTACTGTTCTGTAGCGAGGTCCGAGATCTTGCAAACACCTCCGAGGAATTTCAACATATCCCGCCTCGAAGACACATGCCCGCGCCTTGCTGCGCCAATGCAAGACCGCCAGTGGGGCCCCAGCCAAGGGTAAAGCACAAGGAAGTATCGAACGACAGGATTGCCTTGGTGGGATGGGGGCTGTCGGCGGCGAGGCAAGGATCTGGCCCTAAATAGAAAGGAAGGAAGTCTCGAGCAGGGCTGCTGTTGTTGCTGAGAGCGGCGCCAATGCTGAAGAGACTAGGGCGCCAGTCCAGCGTAAAACAAAACGAAGTCTCGGGCGGAAGCGCTGGTTTTGTCGGGGCGGCGGTTTTCGGTGGTGAGGAGGAACACCGCCTTGAGTTATGAGGAAGCATCGAGCGGGAGCTGTGGTTTTGTCGGGACGGGGTCTGTCGGCGGCGAGGAACAGCACCGTCTTCAGAGAAAAGGGAGGAAGCCTCGAGCGGGAGCGTTGTTTTTGCTGGGAGCGGCGCTAATTCTGAAGAGAATAGGGCGCCGCAAAACGGAAAGGAGTCTCGGGCGGGAGCGCTGGTTTTGTCGGGGCGGTGGTGTTCGGCGGCGAGGAGGAGCACCGCCTTGAGTCAAAAAGGGAGGGCGCCTCGAGCGGGAGCGTTGTTGCTGGGGGCAGCGCCGATGAGAGAAAAAGTAGCGCGCGGAAATCTCGAGCAGTAGTGCCGGTTTTGTTGGGACGGCGGCTTTCGGTGGCGAGCAAGAACACCGGCCCTGAGTAAAAAAACAGAAGAAGAAATCTTCAGCGGGAGCGTTGTTGTTGTTGGGGGGCCGGTTTCGGCGCCCCCCCAAACCGCTCGAACGTGAGCCTCATTTCCGATGAAGATGTAACCGGCGCCGAGGCGAGAGCGCCAAAGCGCCTGGGGGGTCCAACAATAATAATTGTTTGGTAATCAACATTGATCAACAACAACAACAGCAATAGCAACAGCAACAGCAATAGCAACAATAACAGTAACAGCAACACGAACAACAGTAACCATCATGCTAAGACTGTTCGCTCTTATCTGCACGCGTGCCATCAAACACGTGTATCACGAACCCTCGATACTCGTCCTCTTCGTCTTCGATCGTGCCCCTTATTGGGAGGGATATCTTTCGTACCTGCATCGTGTATGTGACCGATGGAAGGAAGGGGACAACAACAACAACCACAGCAACAACAACCACACCCACAACAAAACCAACAACAACAACAACAGCAACCACAACCACAACCACAATAGCAACAACAACGTCGACACCACCCCAACAACAACGACAACGACAACGACAACAACAACAGCAGCATCACCATGATCGATAACAACAACAGCAACACCATCAACAACAACAACAATCATAACAACACCAACCCCAACAGAAGCAACATCATCGTCAGCAGCAGCAGTAGCAGCAGCATCCTCATCCTCATCCTCCTCCTCCTCCTCATCATCATCATTAACAACAGCAGCAGCCGCAGCAACAGCAACAACGGCATCGAGCCGCCACGAAGCAAACACGTCCCGAGAAACAAAAACTGGCCCTGGTGCCGTCTTCCGCTTTCCGGCCCCCTTCGGGCCCCCGAGGGGCCCTGTTGTGTGGTTCTTCATGGGAGCCTCAGAAGGGTCCCCAAGGTCCTCGTGGCTCGGGCGATCACATCCAGATTTCGTCGGATGGTGGACATCTGGACGAAATCTGGACGAAATCTGGACGAACGGGTGAAGAAGGGTGGTCGAAATCTGGACGACATCCGGACGGGATCACGTTGATGATAGGGCCGCGGAGGTCCACCGAGGCTTTGATGAAGGCTCACCCGACTGGGTCCACTAGAGCACGGCTCGGGATGAAGAGCCGGTCCCAGGGGAAGGCCCTTGGTTCCAAGGCCCGCCTCCCTCAGGACCCGCTTCCCTCGTGCCACAACAGGGGCACACGGCAACGGGTATTTTGGCAGCGCGCAAGGAGGTAGTTGGAGAGCGGCAAGACGTGGGATCGAACGCGCCGCAGGTGGCCGCATGCGTCCGCGCACCGCAAACGAGCTGGCACTGGAAGGAAGAGGGGCCACGAAGGGAGGGAAGGAGGAGGAAGCACGGGAAAGCTGATGGTGCGTGCGTGGTCGCCCAAGCCCATGCCCCTCCCCCCAAAAAGTTGGAGAGCGGCAGGACGATGTCGATCTCTTTGCATCGGTCGGAGACCCTACCTGGTGGGTACCAATCGGGTTTGCGCTGCTCTGCGTCAGGATCCGCCGAGCCTCGATGAAGCGATCGAGGTCGAGCAACACAACACTCAATCAACTTGGGGTCGGGAGCTCTTGGATAGCGCGTCGCTCCTCAGGTTCTGGCCCACCACGCCTCGGTGGGACACGCTATCCACGTCGCGGTTCCCAGGCGTCGAAGTCCCGTCTTTCAGAGCTGTCGGCCCCGCGGAGCGGAGCCACACGCGATCCGCTTGCATGGCAAGGCACAGCGTGTCGCTGGGGCCGCCGCCGCGACACGCTGAGCAAACGCTCCCTACCGTAAGCGGAGGTCCGCGCGGCTTTCTGGACTCGGCCGTGGACGTCATCGGCTCTCTCGGAGGGGCCCGCTGGCCTGCGCGGGACAGGCGGCCGCCGAGTCGGCGCAACTGAGCCCCTCCTCGTCCGCTCCGTGCTCCATCTCCTCCCCTCCTCTCTAGCTCTAGAGCAGTTCGGGGGCTGAGGTCGGGAACCTTTGGGCAGCGTGCCGCTCCGCGGGTTCCAGCCCACCACGCCTCGGCGCGACGTGCTGCCCACTTCTCAGCCCCCAGGCGACAACATCCCGAGCTTTTCCCGACCTCCCGCCCCGCGGAGCGGAGCGACACGCTATCCGCTCGCAGGGCACGGCGTGTCGCCGGGGCCGCCGCAGCGATACGTTAAGCAAAAATTCCCGACCGTACCCAATCACTTTTGCGTCGGCGGCTAGGCAGAGTCACGGCGCTGGCGAAAGGGCGTCGGTTGGTGCACGAAACGCGAATTAGGCCACCATGCGGGAGGGGAGGGAGGAGGCGCCCGGCGGCGGCGGGAGGGAGGGAGCAGCCGAGCCCGCTCAGAGCGAGCCGTACCCAATCACATGCAGGAGATGTTTGGAAAACAAAGGCAGGCTAGGGAGGCGGGGGGAAGCCACCGAGAAGGGCGGCGTCGGCTCGTCGGGGCCCATCGGGGAGCAGCTCCTCGCGAGCCACTCCGCGGGATCTGGCCCGCTCGCGGGCGTGGGAGCCGATGGCCTCAGCCTCGACGTCGGCCATATTCTCCCCTGCTCCTCCTCCTCCTCCTCCTCCTCCTGCTCCTCCTCCTCCTCCTCCTCCACCGCCCCCTCCTCCTTCTCCTCCCCAGCCCCCTCCTCGTCCTCCGTCTCCTTCTCCTCCTCGTCCTCCGTTTACAAGGACACATTATGAGCCCTACGCTCCTCTCCCTCGCGTCTTGTTTTTACACCGGATTTCTAGCACCATTGTGGTTTGTTGCTGTTGTTGTTGTTGTTGTTGTTGTTGCTGTTGTCGTTGCTGTTGTTGTTGCTGCTGCTGTTGTTGGTGTTGCTGTTGTCGTCGTCGTCGTCGTTGTTGTCGTCCTAGGTATGTCCGAGGTGTTTTAGCCATCCGTTTGTTTCTGGTGTTTCAAATTGGTGTTCTCGCTTCAGCGTGGGCCTCATTTTCGGGTCGGCGTTGTGCTCCTGCCGTTCAGAACGGCGCTCTCGCCCCAACGCGGCCCACTCTTCTAGATCCGACGCAGGTGCCGAGCACGGCATCCCGCAACATCCACTTGATCCTTCTAGCATGCGGTTGGGAAACGAGATGATTGCCAACGCTGGTGCTTGGCGGCCGACCGCGTTCTCTTTCCTGGCCCGGTTCCGAAGGCAGGTGGTAATATGCGCTGGTCCAGTCTCGTTGGGAGTCTTGGGCGGGCACCTGGAAGTGCGCTGCTGGGCCGATTGTCCACCACGACTACCGCAGGTAGGAGAGGGAGGAGGGAAAGGAGGAGGAGAGGAGGAGGACCTCGCAAACCTCCCTTCTCCCCCGTCCTGCATATGGTAGTGGTGGCGGAAATTGGCTCATCATGCGCCATTGGTATTTGGGGTTGGCGTTCGGGCACCGGGTCACTGTCAGCCCGCCTACGGGATGGTCCCCGAGACGGCCCGAGAGACCCCCGACGGCCCCGAGAGGGCCCGAATGCGGCCCAGGAGACCTCCAAGACGCCCAAGATGGCCTCCAAGACGGTCCTGTCCGCCTTTTATCTCGGTCCGACCGTACACACCGGAGGACAAGAATTTGGGAGACCAGAAAGTACCAATACCGCTACTCCCCGGACCTCTCCTGGGGGCGCGCTCTGAGAAGAATTCCGGGGCGAATCCAGCGGTGGCGACGAGGGCCGCCCAAGAGGCCCAAAAAGGGGAAAACGAGGCAAGGGTAGAGGTATGGGTACCTGTTCCTCCTCCGAGGAGTGGCGGCGAAGGGGGGAAGGCGACGCCGCCTCCGCGAGCTTCAGGGCCACGGCGGGGTCCTCCTCCGCCTGCTCGGGCGGGCGCCGCCATGAGGTCGCCACATGAGCGTGGCCCCTGGGCCCCAGGCCTCGGGTGGGCCCCCAGGACGCCCCAGGAGCATGACGAAACGAGGACGAGGACCTCCTCCTCCTCCTCCTCCTCCTCCTCCTTCTCCTGCTCCTCCTCCTCCCTGCTCCTCCTCTCCTCCTCCTCCTCCTCCTCCTCCTCCTGCTCCTCCTCCTCCTCCTCCTCTGCCTCCTCCTCCTCCTCCTCTGCCTCCTCCTCCTCCTCCTCCCAAATCGGGCGGGGATAAGTCTGGAACGGAGTTACCCTCGCCCTGGCCCCGCCCGAAGGAGGCTCCATGAGGCCCCTACGAAGCTCCCGGAAGACTCGGGAAGCCGCAGCCGGGAGGGCCCAAGACTGGGGAGACCAAGAGGTACCGATACCGCTGCTCCCCGGACCTCTCTCCTGGGGTGCGTTCTGACCAGGACTTCGAGGCGAATCCCAGCGGTGGCGACGAGGGAGGCCCAGGAGGCCCAACAGGGGGAAAACGGGGAGAGGGTAGAGGTGTGGGCCACCTTTCCCTCCTCTGGAGGGCGCCCCAGGAAGTCGCAGGGGAGCGGCCCTGGCCAGAAGGTGCCCCTCCAGTGTCTCGACAGGTCCTCGGGCCCGCTGGCGCTCGCCGGGGGCCTCTCGGGGGGTACTCCGGAGGCCCCCGGCGAGCGACAGGTCCTCCACGGGCGCTGTCCCGCCGTGACGTTGCGCCCACGTGGATCGAGGCGATCGCGGCGTCGGCACGCTCGAGCTCGGAGAGGGAAGCACTGTGTTTGTGTCGGCGGCGGGGCGGGAGTGCTGCTCCAGCGGGCTGGCGATCGGGACGACCGATACGCTAACTGGCCGGCGTTCAAAAAGGCGGAACTAGACAGACGAGGCGGGCGGGAAGGACGGGAGGAGGCGGAGGGCACTCAGACGCGGATGAATTCCAAGCTGAGTGCGAAAAAGGGAAGCGCACGCGTGATCACAGATTGGCTTCGCATGCGCTGCGTCCACGACAGGAGCCAGGAGAGAGCAGAGATCTGCGGAAAGGTCACGCCCACAACGGGCACAGGTGGGCGTACCACGGCAAGCGAGACAGGGTGGCGGGGCACACGCTCCTGGATTGCCCCCTCGCCGATCCCCGCACAGTGAGCCAGTGCACCATTCGCCACCGTGGGCTCTTCCTGGCTGGACGCCGCCCCGCCGACGAGGGGCGAGCCGACTCGCAGGAGGATCCCGCCCCCACGCCCTCTGCCTCCGACCGATCCCGGAAGTGGCTCGGCCGAGGCCCGAGGCAGGGTGCGGGGCCACGGATCCCCGTGCGGGACCCCCCATCCCTGCCATGCCACGCTCGCTTCCGTGCTTGCTCGTCCGCTTGCGGCCTGGCGGTGCGGCGCGAGCGCGGAGCGCGTGCGCCGCGCGGCCCGTGCAGCGGGTGTCCGGCCGCCCCGCCGCTGTCCGGCCGCCCGCCCCGCGCCGCGATCCTGGGGCGAGCCCGTGGGGCGGCCCTTCCGAGGCGAGCGCCCTTCAGAGGTGTGCGACTTCGGCGCCGCGCGACGCGTCCCTGCAGAGCCTCATGCTCCCCAGGCCTCCGCCTTCTCTTCCTCCCTCCCTCTGCCTTTTCCTTGTGCTGTTCCTCCTCCTCCTCCTCCTCCTCCTCCTCCTCCTCCTCCTCCTCCCCCTCCCCCAATATCACTACGTGATGGCAGAACCTCTAGAATCCTCCCCCTCGCCCTCTTTCGTTGTTGGGCTTTTGAATGGGTGCCTCGACTCCCCTGGCGCCGCGCGCCTCCTCCTCCTCCTCCTCCTCCTCCTCCTCCTCCTCCTCATCATCATCATCATCATCATCATCATCATCATCATCATCATCATCATCATCAGCATCAGCATCAGCATCAGCATCAGCATCAGCATCATCAACATCATCATCAGCATCATCATCAGCATCATCATCATCAGCAGCAACATCATCATCATCATCATCAGCAGCAGCAGCAGCATCAGCATCAGCATCAGCATCAGCATCAGCATCAGCATCAGCATCAGCATCAGCATCAGCATCAGCATCATCATCATCATCATCATCATCATCATCATCCTTAGTACCTCCTCCATCGTTCATCCTCCTCATCCTTCTCTTCCTCCTCCCCTCCTCCTGCTGCTCCTCCTCCGCCTCCTCATCCTTCGTCCCTCCTCCCTCGTTCCTCACCACTTTTTTGTGTTTCTTCTTTCCTCCCTCTTCCCCCCCTCGCCCGCGCTCGCGCCCGCGCCTGGCCCGGCTGCCTCGCTGGGCACTTGGGGTCCTCCCAGAACAGGGTGGGGTGGCACAGCTCGGTATACCGTGGAAGGCGAGCGCGGCGACGGGGGACGGCGGCAGGGACGAAGGCGGCGGCAGGGACGAAGGCGGCGGCGGCGGCGGCGGCGGCGGCCACGACGACGACGACGAGAAGGGCCGCGGCGATGGCGGCGAGGGCGACGCCGACGACGACGAGGGGCACCGACGGCGGCGATGACGATGACGGGGGACGCAGACGAAGACGACGATTGCGACGACGAGGGCGACACGGTGGCGACGGCGAAGGCGGCGACGACGCGATGACGGGGACACTTTGCACGCCTGCCCTTAGAGGCCTGGATAACGGCGAGGAGGGATGGATGGCATCGGACATCGGCCTGCATCATGCTCCGTGTGGGTGCCGCAGGGTGGGGCCGAAACGCCCAACAATCGCAAGCAACAGCGACACAAAGACAACCATAGCGAGTCAATGCAATCCTCATCGCATTGTGGCAACACGCTTGCCGAGTATAATTAACATGCATGACCTGTGTAAGAATTAGACGAGCCTCTCAGCGGGTGATGTCCCGCATTTGGACCGAACTGGCGTCGGGAAAAAGGGGCCAGGGTCGGAGAAGACGAGGCTGCCGGAGTCGTGGGATGGAGGTATGGAAAAATGTGGGCTGCCCCCCCCCCCCAAGCTGCACTCGCCAGCTGCGCCGACCCGGGCACGGGGCGGCAGAAGTGGCAACTGTCTCGTTGGCGCCATCCGCCTCGGCCCGGGTCGGCTTTCAGGTGGGCTGGCCTCAGCAGGAGGCCGACCCGTGCAAGATTGCTGCTGCTGCTGTCCCGCCTCTGTCCTCACCATCTCTTTCTGGTGCAGAAGGAGGAGAGCGGAGGAGGAGGAGGAGGAGGAGGAACGATGGAGGAGGTACTAAGGATGTTGCTGATGATGATGATGATGATGATGATGATGATGATGATGATGATGATGATGATGATGATGATGATGATGATGATGATGATGATGATGATGATGATGAGGATGATGATGATAATGATGATAACGAGGAGGAGGAGGCGCGCGGCGCTAGGGGGTCGAGGCCCCCATTCAAAAGCCCAACAACGAAAGAGGGCGAGGGGGAGGATTCTAGAGGTTCTGCCATCACGTAGTGATATTGGGGGAGGGGGAGGAGGAGGAGGAGGAGGAGGAGGAGGAGGAGGAGGAGGAGGAGGAGGAGGAGGAGGAGGAGGAGGAGGAGGAGGAGGAGGAGGAGAAGGAGGAACGGCCGCAGCTCGGATCAGTTCGTCGGGCGGCTCAGGCATCGAGGGCCCAAAAGAGGCCCCCAAGAGGCCCCAACACGGCCCCCACGAGGTCTCAAAACTGCCTCCCAGAGGCCCCCAAGAAGCCCCAACACGGCCCACAAGCGGCGAGGCAATCTGGGCCGGCGGAACGAGCGAAGCGACTCCATAAACGACTGAGACTCAGGACGAAAAACCGCTCCCGGGGAAGGGGTCAAGACCTCTGGGGGTCTACGTTCTAAGAAAAATCACGACGTCGGGGGTCTGGGCCCTTGGTGGGCTCACTGGTGGCACCCGGATTTTCGGTGGGCTCCAGCCTCGGCGGTGCAAGCCCCACGGTCCGACGGCGCGGCGGTCCCCCCCCACTTCTCAACAGAACTTCTGCGCGGGTGCGGCAAGCGCGTGGGGCAGTGCAGCAGGAGAAAGACGAGCCCGGCTTAAAACCCCCTCCTCTGCGAAGGCTTTTTGTGCCGCGGGCGCCTTTCCGCGGGGGCTCGGGAGGTGTGCCCCGGAGCGAGGAGGGGGAGGAAGAAAAGGAGAAGCGAGGATGATGATGAGGAGGAGGCGGAAGAGGAGGAGGAGGAGGAGGAGGAGGAGGAGGAGGAGGAGGAAAAAGAGCAGGAGCAGGAGCAGGAGCAGGAGCAGGAGGAGAAGGAGGAGGAAGAGGATGAGGATGAGGATGAGGATGAGGATGAGGATGAGGATGAGGATGATGATGATGATGATGATGATGATGATGATGATGATGATGGTGATGATGACGATGATGACGATGATGACGACGATGACGATGATGATTATGATGATGATGATTATGAGGAGGAGGAGGAGAAGGAGGAAAAGGAATATGATGAGAATGATGATGAGGATTAGGATGAGGATTAGGATGAGGATGATGTTGATGCTGCTAATGATGATGATGCTGCTGATGATGATGATGATGATGGTGGTGGTGGTGGTGATGCTAATGATGATGATGATGATGATTATGATGATGATGATGATGATGATGATGATGATGATGATGATGCTGATGCTGATGATGACAATGATGGTAATGCTTTTGATGATGATGATGCTGATGATGATGATGATGAGGAGGAGGAGGAGGAGGAGGAGGATGTGGTTGATTATGATTATGACGATGATGGTGATGCTGGTGATGATGCTGATGATGATGATGAGGAGGAGGAGGCGGAGGAGGAGGAGGAGTAAGATTAGGAGGAGGAAGAGGAGGAAGAGGAGGAGAAGGGAAGATAAGGAGGAGGAGCGAGGAGGGAGGAGCGAGGAGCAGGAGGAGGAGAAGGAGGAGGAGGATTGAGGGAGGAGGAGGGGAGGAGGAAGGAGGAGGAGGAGGAGGAGGATGAGCGAGGAGGAGAGGGCGGAGGAGGAGGCGGAGGCAGGGAGGAGGAGGAGGATGAGGAGGAGGAGGAGGAGTAGAGGAAGGAGAGGAGGAGAGGAGGAGGAGGAGGAGGAGCGAGGAAGAGGAGGAGGAGGGCGAGCGAGGAGCGAGGAGCGAGAGGGCGAGGCGCGGAGGGCGAGGAGCGAGAAGAGAGGAGCGCGAGAGAGCGAGGATGAGGGGCGGAGGCGGAAGGCGGAGGAGGAGGAGGAAGAGGAGGAGGCGGAGGACGAAGGAGGAGGGAGGAGGATGAGGAGGAGGACGGAGTAGGAGGAAGCGAGGCAGGAGCGAAGGAAGGAGCGAGGAGGATCGAGGAGGAGCGAGGAGGAGGGGCGAGGAGGAGCGAGGAGGAGGCGGAGGCGGAGGAGGAGTGAGGAGGAGGAGGAGAAGGAGGAGAGAGGAGGAGGAGGAGGAGGAGGAGGATGAGCGCGAAGGGAGGAGGAGGACGAGGAGGAGGAGGAGGAGGAGGAGGAGGAGG